CCTCATATGAGTGAAGTCATATGATACTTGTCTTTCTCTGAATGACTGATTTCGCTTAGCGTAATACCCTCTAGTTCATCCATGTAGTTGCAAATGGCAAGATGGCATTCTTTTTGATTGCCGAGTAATACTCCATTGTGTCTGTGTGTGTGTGTGTGTGTGTGTGTGTGTGTGTGTACACATATACATTTATCCATTCATCCATCGATGGACGTTTGGGCTCTTTCCATACTTTGGCTATTGTCAATAGTGCTGCTATAAACATTGGGGTGCGTGTGCCCCTTCAAAACAGCACGCCTGTATCCCTTAGATAAATACCTAGTAGTGCAATTGCTGGGTTATTAACTCTTCATTAGGGTTTAATTTAGAGCTCAATAAAAATGACGACAATCACTAAATTTCAGTGGCTCTAGTAAGAATCATTTTAGCTTCTTTGAATTTTATATGTGTGTCTTTAATTGTGGTGGGATAGCTACGCTCAGACCTTGTCAGACTCTTAATGCAAATCTAATCTGGAGCAAGGGATAAGCTTTTTATACTGTTTTAAGTGTACTGTCCTTAATACTAGTAATTTTAGCTGTTTAGATTTATTTTTTTAATTGTTACATATTTATTGAATTGTTTTCTACCTGGTTCCTCTTAGCTTTTCCAAATAGTCTTCTGCCAACCTGTTAATTTCTTGGCGGCTGAAGTATTTTTCTGTGTCCCGCAGTGTGTGTTTTCTGAACACGGCCTTCTGACCACAGTGGCTTATAAGCTCGGCAGAGACAAGCCGGTGTATTATGCGTTGGAAGTAAGTACCTCTCAATCAATGTGGATAATATGACGAACAGTCACAGCCAGGGAGAGTCACAGTGCTTCCTAACACCTTTTCTGGTAGATTTTCATAGATGATAAGACTGGAAAAAAAAAAAAAAAAACCTCATTTTTTTTTTTTCTTGGCATTTGGTTAAGTGGAAGGAACCTGGCAGTGAGCTGGGGTCAGCACTCCCAGGGGATCTGAAGGACGTCGGCTCCTGGATCTTTTGCCGGTCACTTGAGGCACCTTGCAGCCGCTTGGCACGGTGTAAGATTTTCTGTCCGTGAAGTTTAGTGCAGGTGTTGACTTGCTCGCCAGTATTCCCGTCAGCTGGAAAATGCTGTGTTTTTTGTAACTGCAGCGCCCCGGTGTTCCAAAGAGCACCACCGGGGGCAAACGCAGATGAATTCCCTCCATGTGTCTCCCCATAAAAATAAATTTTGTCTCACATTTTGACGTGGGAAAGAAAGTGAGGAGACTGATGCCAGTTTTCAGTGGAAGCGTTTCTTCCGAATACATTTGTCAATTCTAGTAGGAATATATCAGCCTAAGCCTGTAGGGCATGGTGAATTTGTATTAGGAACATTAGTAACTTTTCTAGATAAGGTCGAAGAAGCAGTACTCTTTTTATAAAGTCAGGTACGTTCCTTTTTTTCCTAAAGATTTTATTTATTTATTTATTTATTTATTTATTTATTTAGGGGAGAGTGTGAGCAGGGGAGAGGTAGAGAGAGGGGGACAGAGGATCTGAAGCGGGCTCTGCGCTGACAGGCTGACCGCAGTCAACCCGACATGGGGATCGGGCTCATGAACTGTGAGATCATGACCTAAAGCCGAATCCGGACACTTAACCGACTGAGCCACCCAGGCGCCCCTACAGTTCATTTTATTTTTTTATTTTATTTTTTTATTTTTTTTTTTTAATTTTTTTTTTCAACGTTTATTTATTTTTGGGACAGAGAGAAACAGAGCATGAACGGGGGAGGGGCAGAGAGAGAGGGAGACACAGAATCCGAAACAGGCTCCAGGCTCTGAGCCATCAGCCCAGAGCCTGACGCGGGGCTCGAACTCACGGACCTCGAGATCGTGACCTGGCTGAAGTCGGACGCTTAACCGACTGCGCCACCCAGGCGCCCCCCTACAGTTCATTTTAAATGGCTCCTTTGTAATGTATAAATATACAATTGATCTGAAGATTTACTGAGGCTTCTTTCCTAAAGGATCTGATAATAATTTGGTCACAAGTGTTAGAATTCTGTTTAGAGTTCAAACATTGTGTTAGTTGCTATGCCTAGAGCACAAAGAATTTTTGGGTTTTGTCTTGCCCCCTCCCTGCATAAGCACTGTGCTCTCTCCCCCAACCCCTTTTCTATGGATAATAGAAACATTTAGGAATAATAACGGTATCCTATCATTTCTCAGAAGTTAAATTCCTACAAGCCCTGTTCTGCTCTGTTTCCTGCTGTGCAAAGTGCTTATTAGTACAGTGCTGGGCACATCAGATATGTACTATCTGATAAATGTCACCCTATAGCAATTAAGCAAGCCGAACAGCTTAAAGAGTCTTTTCCCCTTATACTGGAGACAGTCGTTTAGAATTATAGATGCCTTAGACCTGGAAAGGGACGCTGCGATAGGGCTTACCTGGTTTCAACTTCCCTCCCAATATGAAGAATCTTATCTTCTTTCCCTCACCGATAGCCTTCCGACTTCTGTTTGAAGATGGCACCCAAAAAGGCTCCTTAGACGTAGATCAGCTGTCAAAAGCATTCAAATACTAACAGGCACCTGTCGGTTTTTCTGGGTCTTCTTGCTCTAGGATAAACTCCTCCAGTGTCCTGATGTCATACAGTTTCTGGATCCTATCTAGTTCTGGACTCCCTTCATTAGACGCATTCCAGTTTGTTGGCATCTTCCAGAATGGAATAGAATATTCCGCATGTAGTCTGACCTGTACTCACTAGTGTGATTTGTTCCTCTCTGACCATAAACACTGCTTTTGCCACTCTAACCTGAGAGTTCATTCATTTAGTCTAATAACCCCACCATATCATCGCCTCCGGGAGCAGATGTTAGAATATCTGGCGCTTTCTCAAATGACTCCTTATCAAGCCAAGTCCTCTCCATTCTGTATTTGGGCAGATCTTGCTTTTTTCCTTAAGTCATCTCTACACCCAACACGAGGCTTGAACTCAGACCCCGAGATCAAGAGTCACATGCTGTCATGACTGAGCCAGCCGGGCGTCCCTGCAGATCTTTTGTTAATCTGAATTCAGGTCTTTGCTTCTTCCTGTTAAATTTCGTGATAGTGATTTCAGCCTATTGTGACATTGTGGGTTCCTTTTCACTCTTTGTTATTTTTCCAGTGTTGCCTCATCTGGAGACTTAACAGGCACATGCTTTATGATTTTGTTTCAATCCGTGTAATTTTTTAAAAGATTCAGAGAATTTGAAAGCTGACACGGCCAGTAGTAGATCAGATGACAACAGGCTTCCCTACCCCCTCACAAGGAATTTGAGAGTCGGAAGTGAAATCGGAGTCACTTGGCCAAAGTAACTTTTGAAAGCTAGTAAGTAGCAGATCCAGGATGCAAATTCAGGTTATTAGACATCAAAATCTAGACCCCCTGGGCCACCCACTGTGCCATCGCCGTTCTCCTGAGTCCGGTGTTCTTTTCACTGCATCTCAGGTCACTTCTTTCGTCTCCTAACCTAGCAGCCTGAGCCACAACATGTACACTTACACACACACACACACACACACACACACACACACACGTTCACAATAGTAGATAGGATTTTGTTTTCTGTGTCTTCTTTCTTTTCAGTTAACAGACATGTAAAAACATTGAAGCAGACCAAATGAGAGGGCAAAGGAGAAAGCTACCTTGGGAAAACTTTTTCTCACTACATTCCTGCTAATTCCACTGGGTCACACCACTTCCATGTTTCGTAAGTGCTTACAGAGTATATAGTTGATGATCATTGCTTTAATTTGACAGATTGTTGTTAGGCTTGGCGACCTGAGGTATTAAAATTTCACTTTGTGGGGCACCTGGCTGGCTCAGTCAGTTAAGTGTCCGACTTCGGCTCAGGTCACGATCTCGCGGTTCGTGAGTTGGAGCCCCGCGCCGG